AGATATTCAGGCCCCAGCCCCTGGACTCATCCCAGCTGAAGTCCTAGATACCACAGAGTAGAGATGAGCCATCCCCACTGCGCCCAGCCTGAATTCCTGAACAAGAGAGTTGTACCTTATACTAACAAATGGTTGTTTCAGGTCACTAAGTCAGAAAGCAGGTTATTACATAGCAGTAGACCACTGAAACACTACGTTCTTTTTTTAAGAATTTATTTATCTGTTTGTTTGTTTAAGAAAGAGAGAGAGAACATGAGCTGGGAGGAAGGGCAGAGGGAGACCTGACACAGGGCTCCATCCCAGGACCTTGAGATCTTGACCTGAGTAGAAGCCAGATGCTCAACTGACTGAGCCACTCAGGTGCCCTGAAACACCACACTCTTCTAACTAGTCTCCTACTGCCCAATCTGAGTGCCATCTGTTCGTCTGGGGCCCTGACTGAGAATATATGTATGACAGACATGAGGCCTGATAATTACATTGCAGACTTCTCCTGGGAAAATGGTAGAACTGCACTTTCCTCTGAGGAGAGGTGGCCTGGTGACTTGCTTTGCACTAGACAATGAAATGTGAATGGAAATAACATGGATCACTTCCAGACAAGAGCATCAAGAACCAGTGTGCCATTCACTATGGTCTCTTCCTCTGACGTCATCACAGATATCATTTCCAGATGGTGAAAGTTCTATCACCTTGGATCCCTGAGTAGGAAAACATGGAAAAAAAACTACCTGCAAAATGCCCACCAAACATTCCAAGATGGACAAGCAGTGAGAACATACAATAGAGATTTATTGTTTCAGCCCGACAACCTGGTGTTGCTTGTAACCGCAGCATACGCATCATGACTGGCACAATAAACTCCTTCGTCAAGCTAATCCTGACCAAAATGACTCCTTGCATGTGGGGACCATTTGAACTCCTGAATATTTTGCACACAAGGAAGCAGCTATACAGGTCCATTGTTTTTACATCTATAATCAGGAAAGCCATAGAAGTCAGTCAACCATTTGGAACCATGGCAACCCACCTCTTAGACCTCCAACTACAGGGAGTGAAAGTGACCAAGGACCCCTGCTACTACATTCTGAAATCTTCACCACACGTCCCACAGCCATCTCCCTGGGAGACACAGGCCTCCTCTGATGGCCTTTCTCAGACTGCACAGCACTCCAGGACACTCCCAGCCAACCTCTCCCTCTCCTTCACTTGGGGTCACATTTGCACTGCAGTCCAACGACTCCCACCCTTCCCCACTTTGATCCCTATTTTCTCTCTCACAAGTATTTCCCCTAATAAAATCCTTGCATGTTTAATCTTATGTTGGCATCTGCTTCTCTGAGAATCCAGACTAATATGATCATACCAATGAATGTTCAGCCTTGAAAATTCAGCTTTAATAAATTAAACATACAGAGACAATAGAACTAGCTGTTGCTGGCTCAGGGTTGTCTAAAGTCATAAATAACCAGTTTTGTATGACGGGATGTCCACATCTATGCCTAGATCTAACTCCTAAATGAGCCATATTAACACGGTATCATTTTTTTCTAGTATGACTTTTACAAAGTCTGATTTTTAAACCTATCTCCAAAACTTGATCCTTTTCCAAATGTCCAAAACAGGCTTCCAGTTCCTCCTTCTAAACCCTGGAGAACATGCAGACCTTGGGATTCAAACTTTTCGTAGTTTAGAAAAGTAACGCCACATCTGACCAACGTAGCAGGTCCGAGGCAGCACCCTATAACCAAATTCATTAGCATTTCTTCCACAAAACATACAAATATTAACACAAGTGTGAATAAAAACAAACAGCCTCAAGACAATTCAGGTAAGGGTTTGTCACCAAATGAGTTCAGCAAAGGTTAGGTTGTGCTTCAATATAAATAATAAGTTTTGTGAATTTCCGAGTTGTGGATAAGGGACTATGGACCAGTATATCCACATAGAAAAAACCGTGCAGCCTTTTAAAGAAAATCAAATATGACTTTCTGCTAACGCAGAAGAAGGACTGGCCATGACACAGCGTAGGACGAAGAAAGCGCATAGTAGAACGACTCACATAGGGAGCATTTCATTGTGCGCATATAGATTGGAAGAGGCGAGGTAGAGACAACCCTGCTTGTCAGGCACCCACACCCACCTCTCATTACCCACAACCCTTTGTAATGACTTCATCTCTGGTTAGGAACTGCTGTGGAAATACAGTTCATGAGAATTGATTGTGATGTAGGCATATGTTTAAGTATGAATTTATTTCTATTATTTATGAGACAGAGAGAATGAGTTCACCTCTGCAAACTGCCTACATTGATGGGATGGCCAGTAACTCAAATGCCATGCATAAATTGGGAGCTGAGAGAGCACACAATAGAAATTTATTTAGGATACTAAATTAGGCCCTCTGCCAGGGGAAGGGACACAAAATATGAAAAATATAGGACAGGAGCCCCAAAAGTAGACCTGAGACTTCCAGATATCCCTTTCCCTATCAATGAGAGGGCACAGGCCAGAGGAGGAGAGGGCTCCCATTAGGGAGCCTGTTCTGTTCCAGAAACAGCCAATTCTGATTTTTCATCATCTGCCTCAGGGCCCCTGTCCTGCCACTCATTGGAGGCTCGTATCTTTTTATTCTTTTTAAGATTTTATTTATTTATTCATGAGAGACACAGAGAGACAGAGGCAGAGACACAGGCAGAGGGAGAGCAGGCTCCCTGGGGGGAGCCCAACAAGGGACTCAATCCCAGATCCCAGGATCATGCCCTGAGCTGAAGGCAGACACTCAACCTCTGAGCCACCCAGGCGTCTCATGGGAGGTTCCTTTCTTCATCAACCACTGAACAGCCAAGAGCCAGAGGAGAGGCTGCTCACCCTCCCCCTTGTCCTGTCTCCTTCCTAAACCTTTTTATTCTGATAAGTTAAAAACATAAACAAAGATTGGGGAGCAAGGAGAAGAGTAAATTAGGGAGGAAATATTCTCCCTAAGTCTCTAACTAGCCCTGGGAGAGATCGCCTACAATGGACAGAAGTTAGGGAATTTTAATTAGGGGTTGGAAATTCAAAACTAATATAGTAAAAGTTCCCTTTGTATTTTATGTATTCAGCATTGACTGTATTCTTTTCCCACAATAAGTATGTATTCCTAACTTCGTGATTTAAAAAAAATCCTCATATTTCAATGAGAGGCATAATAGAGAACAACATTAGTTCATATATGTAAAGCACTATTAGTATTCTCTGCGAACTACTGCCCGGGAATGCATCACGTGCCAGCACTCTACTTGGCACTTTGACAAACCTCATTCCATCTGTGTGCTGTTTACTCCGTGTCCCAAGTCCAAGGCTCTGTCCTTGGCACTGGAGACCCCAGTGAACACAGCTGGTGTGAACCCTGCCCACAAGAAGCAGGCAAACCACTGTGGAGACAGCCATTAAACAGGTTATTGCACATTTAATGATTTGATTCTACTTGTGGTAAGTGCTATGAGGAAGTAGGGCAGAGTGACCAGTCAGATCCTTGTTAACAGTCTCTGAGGTGGATCTCATCCTCAGTCATGGATAAAGAGTCATCATCAATATTTGTAACATTAAGGTATGCTAATTATAATAATGTAAAATATCCCGAACAAATAATAATTATAATTATCACTATTATAATAACGACTTGGGAAATCATTTCATATCAACTGGTCAATGAGGAAAAGCATGGAAGTAAATGAGGAAGAAAGCCTAAATGTGTGAGAGAGTATATGGATAATGACTGCCAAAGAATTTCAGTAGCAATGTCATATTTCTTCATAAAGAAGAATCCTTCCATGCAGAGGCTTAGAGACCTCCCGGAAGAGACATCCGCCTCACCTCTGGTACGGCAAGACACTAATAGAAGGAAACAAACACGAGGTTCATGTTCTCCAAAGATATGTCCTGTATTTTCCAAGACAGATTTAATTTTGAACACCTGGTCTCCCTGTGCCTCTAAACCACTAAAATCATCTAGAAATATCAATATTTTGATGTTTAAACCACATCTGAGATTACCTCTTGAACCTAGAAGTAACACAAAGAACACTGGTAGATCAAAAATGCCATTTGTTTTGGAAAATACTGCCACTACATGCCAAAGGTTCTAAATAGTAAAAGACGAACATTGCCAATCAAGACCTGTTGCTCTCAACCTGAAACCCCATTACCACAGCTTTAAAGTTCCCACAATGAGGCATTCTTTGAATCTGTAAAATGAGAGTCCAGACAATGGTACTTCCAGATGGAGAAGGGTGGGTATTCCATCAAAACACCATGTGGTAAGTTGTTTCTTGCTTGTCTCCCTAAGAAGCAAAGCAACCCTAATGACTCGACAAAGATTCTCTGAACTAAACACTCTATGTGTCTCTCTACTCAGTGAAGAAAAACTCCTTATAATTAGAATTCTAGGTCTATGGGTATCTCCTGACAGCTCACAATGGAAAAGCTATCAGTTGATTTATTATACAAAATGAGAGCATCATAAGGAATTCAGAGAGGTGCTAATGAGACAGCCAACCTTTGCTGGGACCTTAACTTGCTTCACTTTAATTTTTGCTGTCACAAAATTGTTATAAAAAATTATTTTCTGTTAAAGAGATGGCAAATCCATGGCACTTGTGCTACCACTACCCCTTTCCCCACCACAGTAAACGCTGCTCTCCCTCTGACAGACTTGGCCTCAGAGGACAGCTTAACAGAGTTCGGAGGTGAACACAAGAGTCAGAGTCGTTTGCCAACCTCATGTAAACTACCCTACTTGGCACTCACAATGCCATGTTCTATGACACCAACTGGATCCCAACAGATTTAAGCTGTCGCTATTGTTAAGACCCATCTTTCATATTGCCGAGGCGTAGGAACTGGACGAGAAGAAAAATTAGGTTGAAGTCGGCATCGAGTCAATTACACCGTTCACCTTCCTCAGTTTCTGTCAGTTGTACCATAAACAGGTAAGACTACATTAGTCAGTCACTGACCTTATGGAGCGCAGGAGCCAAGACTGGGACCAAGAATCCGTTGTAAATATAATTCACAAGCTGATTGCGAATCAAGGGGTGAGCCACCTAAGAGAGAAAGAGGCAGTCACGAAAAAGAGTTGAGTCTTTAGGTCTTCTTAAAATCACATGTTTCTGTGAACATCCTAAATTCAAAAGAGGAAATTCAAGTTCTGGCCATATATTCCACGGTTAAAAAATAATTCAGACTCCGAATCACCGTGTAATTTTTTCAGATGGTTTATCCCAGTATTAAGAGCTTGGACTTTGAAACTTGAAAATTGGTAATTTAAAAAATCAATTAAGTAAATAAATAAAAACTCGTAATTTTAAGTTTTAACTTTAAAAAAAGCGGATAATTACTAGACTGAATATGTATAGGGACTCAAATTAAAATAACAAACTGTAATATATAATTTTACCCCATAATTTCACCGATGTCCCAATCAACTTGTGCCTAATTAAAAACAAGAATATAACTATCAAAGTAGACAATTCAATACATTTATTTTGCTAACAAAAAGAATTTGTGTTGAAGATGCATTTTCTACCAATCATTTATACTGAGAAGGAAGGCATTTAGAAAACCTTTTCATAAAAAATAAGATTCCATTCAAAAGCAGAAAACATTGCCAAAGGTATAACACTTCCTATATTTGATTTTTGAAATATATTTAGCATGGATAACCCTTCACTTAATATTTTTTGTGAGTAATCTTTTCAGTAGTACCCTCAAACAAGAAAATCTTTAAAGTATATGGCCTTGATTTCAAAAGATAGTGTGAAGTATATCATTTCTCTGCCTTTAACCATGCCTGTTAGTTTTACTTCTCTTTCTTAAAAAAAATAATAATAATAAAATCAAACAATAAAGTGAAAAGCAATTTCTAGGGAAGTAAAGCTAGATCTTTAAATTACTGATAATCTCTCTCTGTGTGTACATTTGGGAAGGAACTAATAGTTTCATCTTTTTTATTTCCACACACTTCTGCAAGAAATGTTGATAGACTGTAATATTAAAGGGAGGGGGGATCTTAAGATATAATCCATTTATCTCATATATAAATAAAACTTGCTTTGACTTAGCAATAAAAATGAGATAGAAACTAAAGTAATTTACTTGCATTTTCTTCCAAAAGCTATTTCCTTATTTGGTAGATAAACAGATTACAACTAACATTTTTCACCTTATAATCAACATAAAGAAAATTTGATTTCTTAATAAATCCAATATGAAGGTAATATGTATGTTGTATAGAAATAAAACATTTTTATGAAAAGCCACTACATCCTTAAATATATATAAAATCTGATTTTTACTGAAAACAGTAACAAGAAGTCTGAAGGTAAAAATCTAATCAAGAAGCCAAATATACTAGAGTTCAGTGGCTGTTTTTTTTCCCCCGAAGCAGACCAATTTCAAAGCACAGATTTAATTTGTGTTGCTAAGAAGATGCTTAACTTCGTCTAAATTCAATTGGGATAACAATATTCTTTATGTAGCATGCACCATTAGGCAAAATAAAGTGTTTTCCTTTGTATACTCCCAAGAAGACCTTGAAGGAAGAGTGGTATAATTTGGTGTACTTAGAAGCCTAAAAATATCTATTTAATGAGTCAAGCATTGAACTTATTTTTGATGGTTAAGTGGATAATCAAAACGGAATTAGCACTTTTTATAAGGAAGATCAGGAAAACCCACTCATTTCTTTTCTCACTTGAAACTTCCCCCAAACCTATAAACTAACATTTTTGTTCACTCAAGGACATTCAGCGTGCTTAAAAGAGAGCACTGATACTCACGGACAGCAAGATGTTTTACAAGGACGCTTACAACCCTGCCTAGCCCAGTGCTTGCCCCGGGGCCGCGTACCTGGATGACGTACCTGGATGACTGCGTTGCAGAACTCCAGGGAGTTCATGAACTGGACGAGAGAGGGGAGCAGCAGCCAGTCGTCCTCCAGCAGGCAGTGCCACTCCTCGCCCTTCTCCTCCAGCTTCGTGGGCAGCGAAGAGTAGAGCCCGCTCAGCCCGGTTGCAAGGACCTGTGTTGGGAGATACAGAGAAGCACTTGCCCAGAGCTCTTAGGCCACAAGGTGTCCAGAACCTCTTGGCCAGCTGGGGTGGCCAGGGGTGCAGGAGACACATGCAGGGACGAAGGCAGCCTTGATTCTGCACACCGCCCCCGCCCCCCAGGCATTCGGGAGAGAGGCAGACCCATGAATGGGGGGCCGCACACGCGGGGAAGGCCCAGCCCGAGGTCTCTCTCTTTCTCTATGAGAAAGGCTCCTGCAGCCCCGCTAAAGGGTGTGACCAAGAGGCACGTGGCTACAGTCTGGACGGCGCCTCGATCTGATCTCCACAAGCTAGAGTAAGAAGACTTGGGGATCACTGGTCAAGTGTGACAGTGGCTGCTGGGTCAGAGCCGAGGCATCAGCAATAAGACAAGAGGAAGTGAAGACAAGGAGGAAGTGAAGTCGAGCATCACATGTGAGGTGGCTGTGAGGGAGCCCCAGCTAGGCCTCTCCGATCCAGTATCAATCCAAAGCTCATGGCCTCTACTTCCCTCCCTCGGTGCTAACATGGAACTTCTCAAGTCGGGCTGAGAAAGTTGAGGGTGACTGAGAACTCACATCTGTCAGGTAGTCCAGCATGGTCTTAAAGAAAAGGGTGATGCCTTTCACAGACACAGAAATGTAGGAAAGAAATACACTTTCAGAGTCTATGACCAAGGGAAACCATGAATTTCACAGTACCGCAAGCCTCCCAGCTGGGAAGCGACACCAGCCATACAGCCGCTTAGAGATGCCAACCTGGCAGCCAGGCTGCAAGTGGGCAGAAGTGGCACAGACGGATGTGAGAAAGTTCTCTATAAAAGGCGCTACCCCAGGATAAACCCTAAGGTTATGAGGAACTCAAATCAGAATGAAACATTCAGGGCAACATTCAATCCTGAGTTAAGCCCAGAAAAGAAAGAGTGAAGCATTCACTGATCTCACACCATCTAATAAGAGGTAAAAGACAACCTACAGGATGGGAGAAGATATTTGCCAATGACATATCAGATAAAGGGCTAGTATCCAAGATCTATAAAGAACTTATTAAACTCAACAGCAAAGAAGCCAACAATCCAATCATGAAATGGGCAAAAGACATGAACAGACATTTCTCCAAAGAAAACATACAAATGGCCAACAAGCACATGAGAAAATGCTCCGCATCACTTGCCATCAGGGAAATACAAATCAAAACCACAATGAGATCCCACCTCACCCCAGTGAGAATGGGGGAAATTAACAAGACAGGAAACAACAAATGTTGGAGAGGATGTGGAGAAAGGGGAACCCTCTTGCACTGTTGGTGGGAATGTGAACTGGTGCAGCCGCTCTGGGAAACTGTGTGGAGGTTCCTCAAAGAGATAAACATAGACTTGCCCTACAACCCAGCAATTGCACTGTTGGGGATTTACCCCAAAGATACAGATGCAGTGAAATGCCGGGACACCTGCATCCCAATATTTATAGCAGCCATGTCCACAATAGCCAAACTGTGGAAGGAGCCTCGGTGTCTGAGAGATGAATGGATAAAGAAGATGTGGTCTATGTATACAGTGGAATATTACATTAGAAATGACAAATACCCACCATTTGCTTTGATGTGGACGGAACTGGAGGGTATTATGCAGAGTGAAGTAAGTCAATTGGAGAAGGACAAACATTATATGGTTTCACTCATACGGAGAATATAAAAAACAGTTAAAGAGATTATAGGGGAAAAGAGAGAAAATGAGTGGGAAAAATCAGAGAGGGTGACAAATATGAGAGTCCTAACTCTGGGAAATGAACAAGGGGTAGCAGAAGGGGACGCGGATGGGTGGATGGGGTGACTGGGTGACGGGCACTGAGGGGGGCACTTGACAGGATGAGCACTGGGTGTTATGCTCATTAACATATGTTATGAGCTATGTTTTATCAAACTCCAATAAAAAAATATAAGGGTGCTGTGGATATACAAAAGGCCCTGACCCCAGACTTGGGGGGCTGGGAGCAGGAAATGTTCTCAGAAGTGATGTCCAAGCTGCTGAAGAATTAATGGGAGTTAGCCCAGAAAAGATTCTTGGAAGGAGGACCGTTCCAAGCAGAGGAGGTACGAAAGCTCAAAGGAGTAAAAAAAAAATGATGGCATCTGCCGGGAACTAAGAGAAAGGCAGGATTATCGGCACATAGGAGTAGAGGCAGGGTAAGCAGGAGTCAGATCCTGCAGGGTTTTGTAGACCAGGGAAAGGACACCACAATGGGGAGCCCAGTAGACAGATGTGTGCACCTTATGCCTGGGAGAGGGATCCGGACTAGAGGTGGAGCTCTGGAGTCATCCAGATGCACATGGTATCTCAAGCCACAGATACCAGAGAGAGGAGGGAAGGCAGGGAGGCTCGAACAGATGAGGTAAAACAAAATAATCCACCATGTCTGGCATCAGCAAGAGAAAGTCAGAAGGAAGTGTGGAAACGGCCCCGCGGACCTTGGAAAAATTCTCTGCAAGCTCACTGCTGCCTCTCCTTTTCCCTTGTCCTGTGCCCACAACACCCTCTGTGTCCCTCTGTGGGGCGGTGGGCTTTCTTGCATTTGTTAGTTTGTTGGCCATCTTCTCCAGCTCACCTGGTCTGACTCATTCATTCTAGTCCACACTGGAGGTGTGGACGATCTGTCGGGTCAGGTATGCCAAGTACCAGATGCCAACAGTACTTGCCGTGGGTAACAACACATCCAGCTCAGCCACAGAGCACAGGCCTGGGGCCTGAGAATCTGGAGGTCTTCCTGTAGAGGAACCAGCTAATGATGGGGGGGGGGGGCACCCAATGTGGAATAGAGGCCCACGGTGGAGTGTGAGGGGCCGTGAGAAAGACAGACAAGCCATTTCCATACAGGAGGAGTCAAAATTACCGACATCCATTCCTGTGTTTGCTAGTGACCTTTATCCACGCGTTCATTCACTCACTCGAAGCAAACGGAATGCCTCAGGCCAGATACTACGTTAAAGTGCAGGAAATGAACAGTGAACAAGATGATGCATTTGTCTCTTTTTCAAAATCGGGGCATCTGTGGTCCCAGAGAAGAATGTCTCCTGTTTAAAGCATTTTGACTCCTTGTCAATGCACCCAAACAAATCATTTTAATTCCAGTTTTGAATGTGACCCCAGTGAGTTGCCGGTTTATGAATGTGGAACCTCCGGCAAGAGAGAACAGAGACCGAGAGCTCTCCTTGCAGGGAAATCTAATCTTGATGTCACGTTTTAAAAATCAATTACATGTGCTAACTCATGCTAAATTAGCCGCAGTACAAAAGCTTTAATTCTGCATACTCCCGATTCCTGAACCACTTTGAGGCTTTGAAGATGAATTCATAAAGACAGGCTTAATTTGTCTGACTAAAAAGCTGGGAATAACTATTCAGTATATCAATATAATTACAGCAACATTAATTTTCAAATTACATACATCACTGACAGTAATTAAAAATAACACACACCTAATATTCACTTTTTTAAGAGAGTATTCTGAAAAGGGCACAGCTGAGATGCAAGCGGAAGCCTGCCTGTACAGAAGGACAGTGCCGTGTGACAGCCGGACACGGAGTCCTGCCTCTAAGAAAGCGGAGCTAGAGGACTGCCTGTGCTGTCCTCTTCTGGGCAGCAGAGAAATATGGAAGAAAAGAGTCTGCAGAATAAAGAGTATTACATAGTTTTGAGAACCTGATTATGAATTTTTATGGCTAAATATTTATATCGTCCTTCCCAAGACTCTGATGCTCGGAGTTGATCCATTCACCCAACCCACAAATATTTCTAGAACATCGACTGTGGGCCTATGCAAGGCTGGTGCTGGGGAAAGAGCAGAGAACAAGTCACACCAAGTGAGCTGGACAAAAGAGCCGCTAAGCTAATAAAGACGACTGGGAGGCCCACTGCTCCATGGAGGGACACAGAGGGTGCTGCGGGCATAGGACAAGGAAAAAAGAGAGGCTGCAACAGGTTTGTGGATCATTTTTCCCAGCAGTTTAATGGCACAATGTATATACTTTTAAAAAACTTCATTTTGGGGGCACCTGGGTGGTTCAGTGGTTGAGCATCTGCCTTCAGCTCAGGTCGTGATCCCCTGCAGGGAGCCTGCTTCTTCCTCTGCCTGTGTCTGCCTCTCTCTCTCTGTCTCTCATGAATAAGCAAAATCTTTAAGAAAGGAAAAGAACTTTGTTTTTAACCGAAATTTTTCAAAATCTAGAGACACTGAACAGCTAGTTGAAAATAACACGTCCATCCACTACTTTAGCCTTTTATTGATCCTGATCACAAAAAAAAGTAATTGTAAAACATTATATTTATTCCCTGCGCATTAAGTATTAACTCAATATTTCCAATTTATCTTCTCTCAAGGGTCTCCTTAAAAGAAAACTAATCACCATATAAAACCATAAGGATAACAACAGTTCAAAACCACTTTCCTGACAGCAGATTTGTATGGTACTGGTTGAGGCCATGGACTTTAGAATCAGACTAACAGGGTTTCAAACCCAACTCTGCCCTTCACAGAGGTTTCTAGGGTTCAGTTTCTCCAGTGAGCTGATGCAAGAAGAAAATAACACATGGACAGAGATGGGCATCACGGCTCACACACAGCAGTGTCTCCAGGGGAGGGAGGAAAGAGGACATGCACGGAGGGCTAAACAATTCAGGGAAGGTCCATCTTTAACTTGAAACATCTAATGGTACCCGGTTAATTTTAGCAAAAGAAAAAGATTTTCAGCAGATGGCTTTTGTCGGAAGCTAGCAGCAAAGCAGCTGGTGAGGATCATTTGATGCAACTCACCAAAATAAAAAAAACTCATAAATTCTGGGTATGGGATAAATAACTTTCTATCAATGGCTGTATACCTACAGGTTGCTCACTTAAATTTGCATTTCTTGATTTATTTATAGGCTGCTTTCTACTTTTGTCAACATGTTAACAAGTGATGAGGGCATAATCATCAATATTTGGCCAAAAAAATC